TCTCCCAACTCCGAGCACCATGAAGGTTCGATCAGTGCGTAAACCTATTACAGTTGTTGAAAATACACAACCCAATGCTCTCACACTCAACGCGAGCTGCAATCAAGGAGCTAGAGTTATGGGCGCTAGCACCCAAACCAGGACCAACAAACACAGCGATCGTCGATCCCAGCGGATACCGTATTGAAGTCACCACATCAGCACAGATATCCCACAGAGAACGGCTGTCGTCACGGAAGCGAATTTAGTGTAGAACATCATGTTTATATGCATCAGTAGCATCCACATCAGTAAGAGACGAAGCTTTGTCTCAACATCATACGCAGGGTCTATGTAAGTCTTTAGACCTTGCATCGTACGCCTTCAACTGGAGCTAACGCAACTACCGAAGGTTGAAAACTGCTTCGAATGGCTACCGCAACCTTATGAAATGGTTGTGTGTATATTTTATATATATATAATATAATAATATAATAATATATATATATATATATACATATATATATATAATATATACACATAACATATAGATATACATGTATAAATATATAGATATTATATATATATATATATATATATATATATATATATAATATATATATATGTATATATATATATATATATATATATATATATATATATATATATATATATATATATATAATATATACATATATATATATAATATATATATATATATATAATATATGTGTGTGGTGTGTGTAGTGTGTGTGTGTGTGTGTGTGTGTGTGTGTGTGTGTGTGTGTGTATGTTGTGTGTGTGTGTGTGCAAGTACATGTGTAGATATATAATATATATATATATATATATATATATAATATATATATTATATATGTGTGTTTGTGTGTGTGTGTGTGTGTGTTGTGTGTGTGGTGTGTATGTATGTATAATATATGTTGTGGTGTGTGGGGGGGTATGTAATATATAATATATATTATATATATATATATATAATAATTATATATATATTATAATATTGTGTGTGTGTGTGTGGTGTATTATATATATATATATATATATATAATATATATAATATATATATATATATATATATATATATAATATATATATATATATATATATATATATAGACATGTATATGCATATCAATATATGAAATGATAGCAATAGTAACAAACAACAACAAGAATAACAATGATAATGATAGTAACAAATATTATAATATCATTAGCAATAATTATAATGATGACACTAATAATAATAACCATAATCATGATAACATCAATAACAATGATGATGATAATGTTAATGAAACTTATAAAAACAATGATAGCAATGATAATAATGACTAACAATCGTGATAAAACAAATAACAATGTTAACAAGTACAATGATGCCAATGATAATTATAACAAAATACGACTACTAATGATAAAGATGATGATAATGATAATGTTGACAATAATGACGATAACAATATTGATATTGATACAACTACTAATGGTCATGTTGATACAGAAATGACGGTAATAATTTTAAAGATGGAAATAACGATAACAATAACGGTGATGATAATAATACCAATGATAATAATGAGGATGATAATTATAAAGATAGTAATAATGAGGATGATAATCAGAATAATAGTAATAACGTTGATGATTATAATAACAATAATGATAATACTGCTAGTAAAATAATGATAATGATAATACTTGTAGTAATATGATAATGATGATAAATCTAATGATAATGATAATAGTAATCGTAAAAATGATAATTGTAAGAACAATATCAGTAAATGTAATAATAATGACAGTAATGGCAGTAGTAATGAATACAGTGATAATGGCATTGATAATGATGATGGTAATAATAACGATGATAATACCAATGATAATGGTAATAGGCAGGATAATGATAATAACAATAATGATAATGATAATAGTTATGATAATAATGATAATGATAAAAATAGTAAGATAATAATGATGACGATAATAAGAATGAATATAAGAATAAGAATGATAATTATGATATTAGTGATGATCTTAATAGTAATGATAATAATGGTGATGATTATGATGATGATTTGTAATGATGATAATGATAGTAATAATAATAATAATAACAATAATAATAAGGATACTGCTACAACTACTACTTATGACAATAATTATTTTAAAAACAATAGTATTGATATCAATGATAATAAAGCTAATAGTAATACCATTGATCAAGATTACAATAACCCAATTTTAAAAGTACATCATTCACTTCCTCCCCAAATGGACCACACTGTCTCGTCTCCGAGCACAAGCGACCGAAGTTGTTTTGGTTCGGCGAGACGAGAAGAAACACGCTGACCATGACTGCCGATATGGATTCTGAGGATTCCAGTGTTTCTGTGATTATTAAAAGGCGAATTACACGTAAGATATATAAATCGCTTCTTTTTTCCTGAGAATTGGTATTTATATAGTTATGTAGCGGGTACACTGAACTTCGTATTTTTTTTAAATGATGGTATTCTGAGGATTCTAGTTAAGTTTTAGTATGATTATTTCGAGAAATACACAAAGGATTGCATGTTTTTATGAATGCTGATGTTGCTGGGATTATCAGAAAAGAAATATGTGTGATTTGTTTGAGTTTTGTGTTGATTTCATTTCAGTTTTTATTGTGAGGCAAACTAGTTTTTTTTGTTGCATCAGAAAGGTTTCACACTAATTATAGTGACATCTTAGACCAAAGTTAGCAGAATTGGAGGCTAAGGGAACATATTCATTAGAGATTTTTGCTG